AAAATTTACGAATAAAGTTTGTTACCATTTCCCGAAGAATTTCTCCATCAAACAGTACTACAACTCTACGGGTCCAAGATCTCCAACTGCTGAATACTACCCCATACCGCCCGCTTTAAATGACAGTCATAACTGGTTTATCCTGAAGACGGAGAGGGGAGGGGTCGGAGCGCACCATTACTTGGCAGCCTTCTAAACCAGGACAGTAAATGTGCAGTGAGAGGTACAACCACACTGTACTGTGTCTAGCGACGCAGTTATAATCCGTGCCCCAGCTATATGGCTCCCACTTTCCCATACTAACTCGAAAGGTTGTTTCCTGTCAGCTGACTTAACGCAGGACTGTTACATGTCCTTCAAAGTGCAAGTAGGTAGAGCAGCGGGAATCTCGACAGAGTAGCACTATCACGTGCACATTCAGATTAACGTAATTCGTGTCACAGTCGGTTTTTTTTTTGGCGTGGTTGTTTCACACCGTGAAAAAAATCCACTAGGTCTTAGGAAAAAAAAATACTTCGTGTCAAAATGCATGGAGAGTTTGGTACCCTAGTGAGTGAAAAAAATGTGCCTGCGATCTATGGGTACCAGCACCATAAGGATAAGGTAATGCCACCTCGCGTCTGAGGTGATGGAACAAGCGTGGAGAGACGAGGCCGTCCCCGATGACTGGGGCTCAGGCATCCTTGTAGCCGTCTACAAGAAGGGATATAAGTCAAGATGCGAGAACTACAGCGGCATTAGAGTCTTATCGATGTTGGTGGGCGTGGATGTGAGGACCAGACATTCACACTGAATTCCGCCATAGCTACCAACAACCGATAGTCGTCGGCTTTGATTCCGTCTATTGGGTATCTCTACATCGGATAATGGCACTAGATGATACACTACCGCAATGATCAGGGCCGACTATCGCTCAGCCACTGCGCGAGTTCCCACTCATAACAATCCTTCCTGCCCCCGTTTGCTAATCGGTCTGGCGTTCAAGTATACTGCATCCGGTCGACCAAGTATGCTACCGACTGGATTCTCCGGCAGAAGCCTACAAGAAGACGATGGTGTTTCAAATACCACGGGACGAAAATGCCGCCGAATGGACAGAGTAAGGTCGACATTTTATCTTGATTTGATGCTGCTAGTCGAGTTCTCTCAGGACACAGACCCGACGCGACATTTCCATCGCCACGAGCGTTAGTGCGTAAAAGGCTTCTGTCCAGTGAACTCTCCTCAATGGTTGTGAAAACTGATCTGTATGCGTAAAAAAGGAGCACAAAAACTGGAGGTATCTGCTCACCACTGCCTGAGGATTATCCCTCAAAGTAAGTTAGCCGAAAAAGTCTCAAATGAGGCAGGTCGCATTTGCTGCGACAATATCGCTAGGATATCGCACAGGCCATTCACAAAAGACGACTGATATAGTTTGGACACGTTCTCCGTCTTCCACATTACCAGATGCATCAGGTGGCAATATACATATAAGAAAAGAAGAGGCGATCACGGGAACAGACATACGGTAATATACATATATAAAATACCTGAAGGATGTCGCGATATTCGGTGGGGTAGTTGGTGGAGAGGAGACCAGCCACAGAGGATATGCACTTGTAGATGGCATGCAGTCCCAGGGTGTTCCACATAATTGGCTTGCCGCCTCCACCAGCACCACCAACGGGCTGTGTCTTCATCCGTCCGCTTTCGTAACCGTTGTCCGCCTCAGTAGTCGGGTCGGCTACCATCCCGGTGCCGGAGG